TTAACTCCACTAACCTCTTATTCTAACCTATATTTTCCCTTGTCCTGTTTCTTGCCTATATTTTTCTGTTTTACAGTGTATTTTCTTATGGAATGAGAAATGTAAACCAACAATCAAAGTGTACATCCAGAGAACTGTAGGTAACAACTGGCTACAGTAGAGTGAACATAACGGAATCATGGTGGGGAGGTGGGGAAGACAAGGAAGGGCCGGATTAATGGTGGGTACTGGGCTCAGGATTTGGACTTTGTTTAGCAGGTCATATATAGCCATTAAAGGTTTTTATACATGAAATGCTCAGCACTAGACTGCTGGAATGTTGGAAGATTGTTCTGGCAGCAGACATAAAATTACCTGGGGGCAAAGGTGGAGAAATAGGAGGCAAGGAGATCATGTGGGATGTTTATTATAGTAGTAATCAGCAATGAGGGTGTAAATCAGTGTAGTAGTGCTAAAAAGGGAAAGGAGAGATCAGTGGAAAGACATTACTGCTAAACTTTAACCAAGTTAACTTTATTACTGATAACAGAACTGGCTGGCCCCAGTCAAGAGACATTAGACCTAAAGTTTTTTGTTTGGTTTTTTTTTTTTGTGAGGAAGACCAGCCCTGAGCTAACATCCGATGCCAATCCCCCTCTTTTATTTATTTATTTATTTTTTTGCTGAGGAAGACTGGCCCTGGGCTAACATCTATGCCCATCTTCCTCTACTTTATATGGGATGCCACCACAGCATGGCTTGACAAGTGGTGCATTGGTGCACGCCTGGGATCCGAACCTGCGAACCGGGCCGGCCCCAGACCTAAAGTTCTTAGTCTTCAGTTCTTCTAAATTTGATTTGATGGAAATGAGATGAAAATGTTGTAAACACACAAAAATTCTCTCTCCCTGTTAGAAGTACAAACAATTACAGTATTGCTTTCCACTTTCTTCTCAAAGGGTGAAGATCTGGTAATAGTCAGTTCTGTCATCATTGCCTCCCACACCTCACTGGCCTTCAATATGTTAAGACCAAGAGAAAACAGAAATTTATGCAAAACAGGTTGGGGAAGGGACATTATCCCAAGTAAAACGGAGTCCCCTTTCTTTTTTTCCAAAGAAAATGGTTGTTGGTGCTCTGAGGAGTTAAATTATAATAACACATGCTAGGAAGATGATGTCAGGGAAGGCGTGGTTAGGCCCTTCACAAGTCTGAAATTCCTTTAGTCCCAAACATTTCCTCTTTCAATCTCACCTACACTCAAATCTCTCTACTGAGGCAACGCTCAAACCTTGAAGAAAACAGTGTTGAGACCCTAGAACTCTGATCTTTTTATGTCAGTCTTTTTCTTTTAATGAACCAAGAGTAATTGAAGATCATTAAAACAGATGTTTTTTACAAAATGTACCACATTATTTTGCAGAATTTCTCTTTGAAATCCACATTTTCCCCCTTCTGTGACTATTTTAATTCCAAAGAAAGGAATGGATATTCAACACCACATCCTGAGAAAGAATCTGCCTTTATTAGGCATTATACATTTGTTGATTATATTTCTATATTTACCACAGCCAAAAAAGAATAAGAAAACCATGATTGTCATGGGCTTCTCAGGAAACAACTTCCCTGATAAGTGAAGTATACAAATACATTTCAAAATAAAACAATCCTCAAACAAGTGAGTCACAACACTGGTATACAAACAGCTTTTCAATTTCACTGGCAATTATTTTTATTCCACAACCTAGAAGTGATGACTATAGTAAATTATGATGTAAAAATTCTCCTTAAAAAAAGCAGATCTCTACAAATCTGTTTCTGGATTTTTGTATAACATGAAGATGGATAATAAAAGCAGATATTTATAATTCGTACTTTTTCAGAAGATTAGAATTTGCTTGTTCTTTATTTCAGTTTTTTAAATGTTTTGGACAGGTCCAAGAACTTTATTACACAGACTTCTTCCACTTAAAATACTTGAGTTCTTAATAGAAAGGGCAAAGAAGCCAATGTCAAAATTAAAACTTTACCTTGTCATAGAAAAAAGTCCAGTAGGATATACACAGCAAACTGCTACCAATTTTTTTCCTCGAGGGGTGAGATTTAGGTAAGAACTTCAGGACATGAAAGGAAAACCTGACTTTTTATTTTATATACCTTTTTATGCTTAATTTTTTTTAAATGGGCATATCTTACATTTATTACTAAAAACTAATAAAAGTTATTTTAAAAATTTAACCTTGGGTATAAAAATGCACAAATTACATGAGCAAATCCATCTAAAACACTCTTCCCAAAAGAGAAATGAACATGTTATGCCCACATCAACACAAAGACAGAGAGCAATATAGTAATGCTTTAGTTTAAATAGACCCAATATTCACAAACCTATACATACACACACAAGGAATCATGTATACAGCCACAAAGTGATGTCATCATAACATTGACCTATAAAAACCCAAAGAATTCTCGACAATTACATTGTAAGTATGTATCTACCCACCCTCCCATGTTTCCTGAATTGCTTCTCAAACCTTATAAGTTATCAGGAAGAGATAGGAGATTTGAATCCAAATCCACAATCATACCTCTTGTCCCCTACATTATCCTAGATTTAGAAGCTGGTTAAATGTTTCCTATACTACAAGGGGGAAAGGGAGTAGAGAGCTGAGAAAAGAAGATTTTAGATAGCATTAAATACATGAAATCTCTAATAGGAAAAAAACTAATTTCTAGAATTCATTTTACTTTATTTTAATAGGTCTGGGTAACCTGAGAGACCTGGAGAGAAAAAATTAGGAAGGAAACTTTCATATAGTACTATGTAAGATTTGAAAAGAATAAAGAGAGATGAAATATCCCTCTATCGAAATCATATGTTCACATATATGTGTATGTGTATGTATATATAGAATATATATACATATATTATTGATAACCAACAAATATGTAAGGACCTATAAGGATATAAACAGAATGAATACCATATAAAATCCATAAACTAACACTAAGTGTTTGGGTCTAAACATTAACCCACTGCCTTGATCAGACACTTTGTTTAAATCTACCCGTAATAGTCTCTTTAGGTATATGAGAAAGCAGGAGGAATTCTTCCCCATCTTCCAACACTCCATCAGATGAGCAAGATTCCTCAATGTCTATGGCACCTCTTTTCTTTAAGGAACTGCTACAACACCAAGAGAGAAGGTAAAGGGTCCTTCTGCTACAACATGAAGTTCTTCCTAATCAGCACCGTGTGCCTTGAAATGCCAAGAAACTGCCAAGGATATTCCCTGGCAAATGTAGGCATGATTGTCCACCTCCCCGCAGACCGCCCACTGCCCAAGCACAGCACACTGGCAGCCGTGAGTTAATCATAAAGACTCCAAGGATCCCTGCTGAGCCTGGCTATCTGCAGAGCTTGAAGCACCAGCTCAGCAGCAGAACCCAAAGAGTCACAGAGCTTTCTGCCTTAATCCCAAGATATGTCTTCTCTTAAGACTCTTTCCCTATATGCTGGGCGGGACAAGGTCTCTATCTAGTCTAGAAGAGTCTACCCAGTTCTTGAAGCTGTTGTGATTTCACTGACTATATTTCAGCTACCTGATAATACAGGTGGAATGGGTGGGAAGGAAGGTGAAGTGGGGGAGAAGGGAAACAGTTAATCAAAAGAGAACATAACCTTGGAGGGGGTGGGCTGGGGGCCAGGGTCTGAGATGACATATTATCCCCCTGGAGACTGAGTCTATCAGCAGGAAGTCAAACTAACTTCATTTCACAAAGATACAAACTTGCAGTTAGGTTTGTTTTTAATTCTCCTGCCTTCTCAGGCCTCACATACAGGGCCTGGAAATTCCTGGAACTTGAGAACCAGGTGAGAACAGATGCGGAAAGAAGCGGTGGAAAAGGGAGAGGCTCTGAGACGAGAGAGGAATCCCGTTCGCCTCTTAAGGAGAATGTTAAAGCCACGGGCACTCCCAGATCCCCAGAAAAGGAAGTAGCTGGATTCCAAAAAAGCACTTTTCCCTACCTTTTTGTTGTTCTTGTTATAGCCAAAAGTCGAAGTCCCAGGCCTGGAAGTCACTGATAGCAGCATTTTCTCTTTAATGTTAGGGAGCTGAGAGAGAGGAGGAGAGGGGAGGGAGGGGGAAGAGGGAGAGGGAGAGGAAAGAGAGAGAGAGAAAAAAGGAGAGAGAGAGAGAGAGAAAGAGAGAGGGAGAGGGGGAGAGGGAGAAGGGAGGGGGAGGAGAAAGGGGGAGAAAAGGAGCAAGAGGGAGAGAGATGGGGGGCGGGAAGAGAATGAACTAGGGCTGCTCATTTACGTCACTGAGAGAAGTTAACCCAGAGTCTGAATGAGGCACTTCCACTGGGTCCTAATGCCCATGATGTTATTTTTTTATTTTCACAGGGTTAGTAGCTAAAGCAAAAAGAAAAGTTTTTAGGTCTACCCCTTTCAACTCCATCCCCTTTCCTCTACAAACAAGTTCTGAGTCTCATGAAAAGACAATGAGGATTTTTTCCCATTAGACCTCAGCTATAAGAATATTTCAAGCTTAATTTAAAGGAGCCACTGGGACACTGCCTTGGAGAACATGTGAAGAAAACCATACTGAGACAGAACACGTGAGATGAGCTCAGGACTTCCCCCCCACACACCTTTGATACTTACAGTGATCTTAATGCACGAAGAAAGAACAAACAAGAGCTCTCCAAAGAGCAGAGACAAGCAAAACAGACTATGGGAGACAATGGGTTTCAGATCCCTGGATAGTTCTGTTCCTCTTGGATCATCCTGACAGCTGATGCCTCTCACTCTTTCAGATTCCTCCAGCTATGACTTCAAACTTAAGAACTGTCAAACTGGACTACATATGAAACTTGGTGCCTTTTCTCCCCCCCAACTTTACTGAGATATAATTGCCTAGTGGTTTCTTCAACAAGCTATCTTATTTGACTTTTTATCCCACTATTTCCTCATCTTCAAGGTCCACGAGGCTGAAACAATTAGAATTACTCACCAAACCTGGAATTTATGCCCAAACTGAAGTTCACAGAGTTGGGATGTTTGCTTCAAGTTGTCTCTGAGCTGCAGAAAAAAATAACTGTTTAAAAAGCATATGCTTACAGAGAAGAAAAATATAAAGTTCTTAGGAAAGAAGAACACTTAGTCAAGCTGCAACAACACTCACCTCTAAAGGTTTCAAAGGAACGTCCTGTAGAAGTAGCTTTAACAAGAAAAGAAACTTATAGGAAACCAAAAACTTAAGAATGATACCCAGTAACTCCTACCAATTAAAGTGGAACAGGGATATAGAATGAAAGCCTTCAAATTCCTTCTTAAGGCCACCTTGCTGCCATCATGGAATTCTCTTAAGACATAAATTAACTCTGTCTGCTTTGCCACAACACACATTAAGCCCAAATCCTTCCTTAAGTGAAGTCTCAGTCTCTATTCTGGTTTCCTGTCACCTTTTGCTATGATAATGGGACAGACAGTACTAACACTCTGCAGAGTAAACACACACACACTACACCCTCAATCTCTAACTTTCATTTCCAGCAGGACAGGAAGTGCCTGCTCAGCTCTAGGGACACAGGAAGGGTGGGAACAGCCTCAATGTGGGAATTGCAACCGAGACTGGAAGCACAGCAGCCAAATGCAGTAAATAAATGAATAAAGGTATCTCTCAGTGATACCATATTTTTTTTTAAGTCCCTTTTCTGCCCTTAGAGATTCTCATTCATTATATGCCAAGTTACCCTTGCCATTTAGGCCCTTAGTTGATGTCTCCTCCCTCAGCCTAACAATGTGGTACAAAAACCTTAATTTTTAAGGCCTGATTAATAATGGATTTATAATGGCAGTCAACCTAATTTTATTTTTTTGAAATTCCGATATTCGCAGTGTGTTGTGTTCTACTGCATTCCTTAATGCTCAATGATATCTTAGAATTTAAAATAGTTCAAACCACAAGTTTGAGAGAGAACAGACATGAGTTCAAATGCTGACACCATTCTTAGTTACTGTTTATGTGACTTCAGGCCAAGTTACTTAACATCTCTAATCCACTAATTTGCAAAATGGAGTTAATACCTACTTCATTAGCCTTTGGAATCAAATCTAAGTTCTGGTTCAGTCCAGTTACTTACAAGCTGAGTGACACTGGGAAAATTACCTCGGATGTCTGAACCTTACTTTTCTCATCTGTATAATAAATAAATAGAATCTAATTCCTAAAATTGTAATGAAATGAAATAAGGCAATGCATATAAAGCCCTTAGGAAGGTGCCTGGCATTTGGTAAACACTCAATAGACGTCAGCTCCACTAGGATTGATGACCGTCTCCCAGTGTGTGCCCCTCTGGGTACTGTATAACCCAGATCTGATGATCTCAAGTGAACATTTCCAAAAACTAGTATCTAAGTTACATTCAAAAGATTATACTAGGACTAGGCAAGCTAAACTATATAACTGGAAATACTGGATAAGAAGTTTCAGGAATTAATCCAATTTCTTCTCTTTCTCTACCTTCTATAAGCAAACAATCTGATTATCTGGAAATTCTTTTTATAATTTTCAATCTCCTGGAAATTAGTAGAACATCTCTTATCTCTAGAAAAAAGGAAACAAAATAATACAGAATCAAAGTGCACTAGATACAAGACACCCCAGCTCCCATTTCTGTGGAGTCCTACTACTCTAAGAAATAGAAATAGATCTAGATAAAAAAGTAGGATTTTCATGCATCCTAAGCTTTAACACCATTTCTCTACCCCAAAAGTAGACAGTATCAGATAGGATGGAGATAAAGAAGAATCCAATTAAATAAATACTATTTTATATGAACTAATACTAAAACCTAGGTTTTTATAGTCTAATAAGTTTAGGGCCGCATAAGTAAAATGACCCGATTTGTGATGCCAAAGGTTAATTATGTCAAAGAGCATCAACAAGACTGAAAACTACATCCTTTACTCTGGTAAGTATATTTTTAAAAGGGGTTATGGAATTTCGTGGAGGTGATGGACACGGTAATGGAGTTCTGTGGTGAGATTCAGGAGGTATACGAGAGGAGGAAGAATCCTATTTCTCCCATTGTGTTTACTTTGACTCCATCCCCCCCATCTGCTTTGTCCATTATATTGCCACATTTTTCTAGGTTTAGTCAATGCCTCTCAAATTCTTGGTTCTCATGGGCCCAGCACCCAAGAGTTGTTTTGAGGGAAAAAGTAAAATAAGAGTTATTTGGAACTTGTCTTGGAAAGAGACATTTGTACCTCAGATTCAATATAGACTGGTTTGTGATTTCTCCAGAAAAACAATACTTTTAAATAAGTGTCTCAGGTAAAGGAGTTGGGGCTAGATCAACCTTGATCTCTATGTTGAAAGATGTCTGCAGTTCCATTATAGTTGTCGGCGAGGTAGGCTGTGTGTATCTGGGGCTAGTTGCTGGCGGTGAGGGTAAATGAGCTAGAATCTCTCTAGTCTGTAGAAAGATGCTTTCGGGAAGCTCACTTTGAGGGCGGCGGGCAGCTCTGGAAGGGCGCGTCTCCCGGCGCCTGCGCCCACGTGGCCTTCGGGGCGGCGCGGTGGCCGGTGTTGGATCGTCTCGCAGGGCCGCCGTGGGCCGAAGCTCATGATCCGCGTGTGTGTGCGTCCGGGAGGGCCGCCGCCGTCTCGGGAGCCTAGGTCCTCGAAGGCCGGGCCCCCGTTACCCGGGCCCGTCGCGGGGACTGCGCAGCGCCGAGAGAACTGGATGGCAGACCCGCTGCTGAGCGTACCAGGAACAGCATCCCACCCTGACGTTGCAAATTAGTGAAGGGTTGCCAGTGTGTGATCACCAACAGCTGAGTATTGGGGTGAGGCGCCATGGCCTGCTATGAGGGGTGCCTTAATTCATTCCCCCATGGTTTGAGTGCTGAAGAATGGTGATCAGCAGTACAGAATCTTAAAGCTACTGGCGGCAGCAGCTCAGCCCAAGCAAAGGTTATTTTCGCAGACAATGGTCAGCCATGCTGTGGCAGGGGCAGAATTTGAAGTCCCAAGGACCGGTGGCCACCATTAATTTGGACTCTCAAAACCTCGCTTTCAACATTTGATGTAGAAACACGCTCACCTTGTGTTGAGTATCAGAGAGGTTGTTCTTAGCAACCTTTTCCTGGGACAGGCACATTTGGTGTCGTTAAGTTCATGAGTTTTCTAGTATTGTCCCTTGCCCAAAAGGAGCTTCTGTACTTTTTATTTAATACTGTATAAATTTGTTATCTTTAAGCTGGGGACTTATTTCTTGCTGAAATATTTCCATGCAGTTACCATAAACTAATACTGTAACAAAGGATGGGGAAAAAAAAAAAAAAAGATGTCTGCATGCCACTATTGGCCCCTCCACATCAGGGTGCAGGACTCAGAAGGATGTATTACCTGCAGAGGTGCTAGACCCTAGACAGACAGCTGACTGCAGCCAGGCGGATGTGCCCCATGTGTCTGAAAGCAGGAAACAGGGCCAGTTTGCTAGCGGAGCTCTGAATGTGGTTCAGACACTTAAACAAGGTATGTTAGGGCCAAAAATGCTTTCTTTTCCAGCTATTAATATTCTCCCTGGATTATCCTTCTACCTGCTGATTAACTTTTGTGCCCAAAAGACCAGGCAATGGAAACAGACCAAAAACTTGAATTTATTTCATGGTGAAGAGATGAGGGCAATGCCTTAGGAAGAAGTGGGAAAAAGAGTTTATTTAACTCTCAAGGAAAACTTAAGGAGTTGCATCAAACAACAAAGAAAAGCTTAGCCCTGCTCCCTTCTGATGTGGGATGGAATGAAAAAAATTGATCTAAAACTAGAAATTGCGTAAATTTGGCCTCTCAACTCCTTGACTTAACTCACTGGAAAACAGGGAAAAAGACAACTCTGAAGAATTATTTATCTCACACCCTGGATATCAGTGCTAATAGTATGCTCTCCTCTCCTCTAGCACCAGATACTTCCAGCCAAAAATTACTACAAGGAATATTCTAACAAAATTTTCAAGTAGACTTTTCCTTTGCCAGACCCTCGAGAAATACAGGAATCAAATCATGTAGAATCACTGGGCCAGAAAATTAGCATAACGTAGAAAGAATAGACTAGATTCTATGAATACCCAGAAAGGACTGCATTGATTATATGGTAATATTATATTTTCTAAACGTATGTTCCCTTCACACCTCAGACATTAATTTTACTTGGCCTCAGCTATCCCTAAAATAAATAACTCAGATAATCCCAATAGGGCCCACAACTGAACTCAACAATTAGGCTGAACCAAATGAAATGGTTGTGTCTATAGGTTAAATATGAATCTTTTCCAATAGTCAAATATTGGCAATTTCATATGGTTAAATCTATCACTGCAAAAAGTGTGAGACTGTGGGGATGATGAGTCAGAATACTGATTAATTGGGTAGTTCCTTTCCTTTGTCCTCTCTCATTTTCAGATAAAAAACAAAAAACCAGAGAGGTAAACTCACTTGCACAAGGTCATGGGGGTCAAATAACGACATAACTCCCACTAGAATCCAGACTCTCAATTCAACATCCTTTCCACATCCATCTGTCTATAAAATTAAAAATTCTACTGTATATTTTTGGGTCAGAAATAATAAAGGAATAATCCTAAGATTCCAGAGGTAAAAGTTCAACTCTTTTCCTTTATGTCAAGTAGCAGTGATACCCTGATATTTTGGCCTATTCTTAAATTGCACAATGGGATGATATTTCTAGGGATAAAATTACAATGCAAACAACAGGAAGATTTGTTGAAAACTATAGTTGTTGGGAAGTGTTGCTAATTAAATGTGCAAGATTCTACCTGAGTCCTGATTCACTATATATTTAGAAGGTAATTTGCTTGAATTCTGCTTTCCATCGGGGATAATTTGTACCATATCCTGAAACTCTCAGATGAAACATAAGATTTGAATATAAGAAATAGTTTCTAAAATATCAATATACAGAGCCAGCCCCAATGGCCTAGTGATTAAGTTTGGCGCTGTCTACTTTGGTGGCCCTACATCGGTTCCTGGGCGTGGACCTATACTACTTGACCGTCAGTGGCCATCCTGTGACAGCGGCTCACATACAAAATAGAGGAAGACTAGCAACAGATGTTAGCTCAGGGGAAATCTTCCTCAGCAAAAAAATAAATAAATAAAAATAAAATAAAATATCAATATACATTATTTATAAGGCCCCTGGTCACTAGCAGGATTTACCTGAAGCATAATTTTTTTTAAATGATTTTATTTATTTTTTTCCCCCAAAGCCCCAGTAGATAGTTGTATGTCATAGCTGCACGTCCTTCTAGTTGCTGTATGTGGGACGCGGCCTCAGCATGGCTGGAGAAGCAGTGTGTCGGTGTGCGCTCAGGATCCAAACCCGGGCCGCCAGCAGCGGAGCACGTGCACTTAACCACTAAGCCACGGGGCTGGCCCCCAGAAGCATAATTTTGGTGAGGACAGGGACTGTGCCTATTTTGTGTACACTATTATATCCCTAGCATTTAACAATTACCTGGCTTAATTTAAAA